CCACGCCTTCACTACCACCCACGCCATCTTCGTGACATTGACATTAACCCCCTCTACTTCTTCATCTTTCAGCAAAAATTTTTCTTTCTCTTTTTGCGTAGTGTATACTTGAGGGGAAATGAGAAACAAATGTGTTTTAATGCAAAATGATGCAAATTTTGTATGCAAGGCATAGGTTTTACTTACGAGACCAAGTGCGACTAACAATCGCCCTCTTAATAGAAATTAAACATTGATAGCTCGATTTAAGCCATACTATCATTCGTTTTAAGATATATATATATATATATATATATATATATATATATATATTCTGTGTTACGAACTTATTTCCGCTTATATATATGCCTATATATATATATATATATATATATATATATATAGTTATTTTAGTGTTTCTAAAGTCAACATCTTACGTATTTGAGTTTCATTATTGTTACGCTATATTATATTATATATATATATATATGTATATAATATATATATATATTTACGTCACCTGTATGTAATACGTAAGAGGCAATAAAGTTCGTATTGTCCACAAACATTGTATTTTGTTGACTTCATCTTTCAATGTTTTATCATTTCGTTGATGGAGTTTTATCCTCGGAATTATAATAGCTTTACATCATTAGTTTAATGGTCGGCTAATGTCAATTTCTTTTATGTATGCTTTTATCTTAATTCGTAATATTTTATACCGAGTATTCTGAGTCGTATATTGACCTGTTACATAGTAATACATTGATGTAACACCGCGCTTGTATAGGCCTATTGAAAATTTTCAAGCCCAGATTGAATCGTAGGTTGTAAACAGGGAAAAATAACTATGGTTGAGTATCACCTACGGCGTTTAGCGGTAACATCACTGAGCCTAATTTATCTATTGTTCATGACTGATGAAACTTTCTCGTAATAAAATTCCTATTATGTTGCCGTTAATCCAATCAGAATATGATGAAAAGCAAAACAATGCCAGCCAATGTGTCCCAGTTCATTTTCATAGGTTGTTAATAGATATTTTACCTTAATAAAAAGATAGTTCCATTAACCACTGTTAATAATCATCACTTATGCTTGTCATTGGCAGTCCCACAATATAGAATACAGCAATAAATCTGTATTAGGTCAACAAACTAGTACAAAGCAACGCGTAAAATAACAAAATTGCCCGTGTTAATCGATAATCAGCGAAGAAAGAAACTACCGCTATAATAGCTAAGGAGTGAATTACTTAAAAATGGTACATTCATTCGTGATTTAAATACACTAGGTTCTTCTGAGTATGTGCGAGTATTCTGAGAATATAATACAATAATAAAGGTATAATTGTGGTGGTATACAGTAGGTATTTGCGATGTCTTATAAGCATAGGTTTACATCGATTAGTACTTGTAGAGCCAAACACAACCATCAGTCTAGTAAACAGCATTTCCCTGTCTTCTTCTTCTTCTTCATAAATACGTTACGCGTTTATCTTAATTTCTATCATGAAATGGATTTGTTTTTAACCAACAGACAACTGAAAGAAAAAAAACGTAATATGTAAAATGCACAAGGAAATTCATATCGATTGATGATAACGATCGATAAAGAAAAAGCTTGGTCACTCTAATAATAATACTCTAAGTAATCCAATTATTCAAAAGAAAAACCAGTTAACGAAGAAAAAGACAAAACGTGTGACCTATAAATTGCGAATAAAATAATACTTCCCATTATAAAAGAGTAAACACCAATATAATTCCGTGTATTAATGGATGTCATTATCGCCATTCGTTATCAGCGCTGTCACTAAATTAAATATGCCTGGAATTGGTTGTCAACATGCATATCCTATTGACGAGGGAAGTAGTGTTGACTAACAATGTAATGAGAATAAATACTGGCGCGCGTTGGCACACAATGCAGACGCATAACCAACTGGGCCTTACCAACTGGCATAGGCCTAGTAGAGTGCGAAATGAATTGCCTCTAATCGGATTCGAACTTCTAACGAAGTTGGTTAAGGCGTCTGAATAGACAGTAGAATCCCGGTTGTGGCAATTTTTTAACTGAACAGCTAAGTCTATAGCCATATATTTCATATACAGTAATAGCACTAGGCCTATATCAACAAAATGTACGTATCCCATTCTTCTACTATATTGACAGTCGAAAGTTTTGCATTGTGAATATTGAGTACAGTAGTAGGATGAGGCGGAATTTGAAACACTTTCCTATCCCAGAATCTTGGGGCCCAGCATGCAGGGAAGACTGCCGTGTGCGAAAATGTTTTTTTTTTTTTTTTTTTTTGGCGAGGCACTTTTTTTTGAGGCGAGGCACGGCTAAGTGACGTAGGGGCCTACCTGTATTTCAGTTGTACGGTAACGTTAGGGTTTAATTACGTCCCATAAAATATTCTGCGCATGGACAACGTTGAGTTCTCCTCGTCTTCGTCTGAATACCTGGTGTGGGCTGAATATGTTTTGAAGAACGGAGGATGGACAGAGATGAGTGAATCCGTGCTATATTCACGTAGTCGCATAATCAAACGCTCTTGTGCCGGGCACTCACTGCGCCCGACGGTTGTCGGCCGACGCGATTCTATGAAAGACGCAACGCGACGACGCGCGCTCAACGGATCGTTTTTAATGACGATCCGTTCAGCACGGTGTCACCGACAATCAGAGACGGCGCCGCGTCATCTAGTGGTCCCATGGAGCGGAGTTGGATTCGTCGTGCAACGGTTGTATGACAGTCGTACGACGCAGTGAGTGCCCGGCTTGCGAAACTTCCCTTATGTCGGTATTTGTACATGCTTATTTCAATTTACTGTAAATTATAAAAGGGACGTTTTGGTAGTCGATATTGGAAAATTGCATCCATAATTTTAATTCATATCATATGCCTACTTTCTTTAATTTACACCGCTATTCCAAAAAAAAAAAAAAAAGCAAAAACAAATAGCAAACAGTCCGACGAAGCAGGTGGTGGGTTAAGCATAGAGAGTTAAGTTACTGTGACTATGGAGAAATTAGTTTGGGCTGTGACCATGTTCTGGTCACCCTTTTCAACTCTATTACTTGCGTCCAACTCAAAGTCCGAAGACGCGTACAGTTCCTTAGTGGATGTTAAAACTAATACTGTATTGCCCGTGTAAGATGCTTTAAAAATGAAAATTAAAAATGAAAATGCTTTCCTCGAGAGACGCGTGATTTTTACGTTATTTGCGTAAACACTAAAATTCATGGCTGCAGTCAATTGAATTATTTTCGTATAGTAAAGCGTCTGTATAGTAATTAAAACTGATCTGTTTAGATTTGTTCAGTTCGGTATTTACGTTGAATTTGATCTTTTTAATATATTGTTTAAGGAACTTTGAGCACATATTCAAAAAAACGTATTGAGATTGATACCCATATGTCTAGTTAATGTGTTTGTAACGATTAGGCCTAATCAGTTTACAATTAACATAACTATTTGTTACAACACATTAACTTGACATGGTAAATGCCTTGTTAATGTGTAGCAAGAGTTTAATACATGAACATAGCTAGAGATGGATTTTTGCTTCAACCGAGGCCAACACTTCGTTCGTTGGTATAACCGTGTACGACAAAGACAGACTTAATTAATTATACTAGAAAACGAAAAGACCTGGGTACGGTAGAGCATAGCATGGAATACTCCTCCCCTACATGTAGGCCTAGTTGACGGAATGATTGCACAAATGAATCAGATGAGCTATGCGCTTTTACGATATTTTAAAAAATTGTAATTTCAATTTTTATATATCTAATCTGCAAATGAATACAGATAACGAAGGTGTTCATCTCGCTTCTGATGATATATACAACCATACTTAAGCCTACTACTAAAACTAATTTTGTTGGTAGCACTTAAGTACCCACTCGGCATATCGCGTGAGCATGTACGATCGATCATATATCAGAGATTGCTGGATAGAAACAACGTTGTCAGATAGATGAATTAGACTCTGCACGCGGAAAAAACTTCGAGTACTATGTTATATGAATAAACATTATGCTAGTTGGAAAAACATCACTCTTAAGGGCTATTTCAACCAATTTGATCGTGTTGGCAGATAATTCGTCGAACCTGTACAAAACAAACCAGCACATTTTAAAAACCCGTGTGTTAATCAAAACATCCTTCACAAATAATAATAATAATAATGATTTTTATTATTATTATTATTATTATTATTATTATTATTATTATTACTATTATTATTATTACTATTATTACTATTATTATTACTATTATTATTATTATTATTATTATTATTATTATTATTATTATTATTATTCTCATCGTCATCATTATTATTATTATATTATAACTAGGTCTATCATATTAATAATAATTAATTATGGTAATAAATGTTTAAAAACTCTTGAATACAGTAAAAGAATCGTCACAAATGAAGGCAGTATATTCTTCCAAGATAGATTTAAATATATCATTTATATTGTGACGTTGTGAGTACTATGTTATATAAATAAACATTATGCTAGTTGGAAAAACATCACTCTTAAAGGCTATTCCAACCAATCTGATCGTGTTGGCAGATAATTCGTCGAACCTCCACAGAACAAACCTTCACATTTTAAATCGCAAAAAAAAAAAAAAAAAAAAACCCGTTAATATATAAAAAAAAAAAAAAAACCGTTAATATATCATATTAAAAATACTTTATAATAATAAAAAATTTTGAAACTTCGAAATGCAGTGAAAGAATCGTCACAAATAAAGACAGTATATTTTACCAAGATAGATTTAAATATATCATTTATATTGTGAAGTTAAATTCACTCATAAAAGAGCGATTTTTATCCTTGGTATAGATTTTAAGCTTTGTATTTATGATCAGGGGAGCAAATATCACGTGGATAAAAATCTTCTAATATAATAGGCCTACATGTCGCTCTTTTGCGTCTCCGTGGCCTATTCTTCTCATGTGCTAGTAATGTATCTTTTTATGTTCTTGCATTTAGGTGGCTCGAGTTCCTTGGCAAGTTTGACGAACCTGGCTGCAACATTCGCCAGTACTGCTGGTTTATTAATTATGCCCAGGATCAACGCTTCATGCGGCTACATCAAACCGATATTCATTGGCTTATTATTCCAGGGCCTGAACTATTTTGGATATGCAGTTATGCAAAATCCATGGTGGGCAATTCTACCAAACATCATAAAAGGTTGGTGTATATTTATTGTAATTCATTATATCAATCTAAAATAAGAGTGATATTAACGCCATTCCTTCCAGCAATTGTATTAATGATACAATCACATAAGTCACAATCACATAAGAAAAGTAGTTTTATTCCATCATTAGAAAAGTCGAATGCTCACATAGTAAGTTGCGTTACAATAACATAAAATATATGTACAAACATTTAAAACAATAATGTAGAGTACAAAAAAGTAACAATTCTAAGAAATCACCAGCAAAAATTTCACAAAGTTAAAAAACAATCACAGATGAGATAAAAAAAAAAAGGTAAAATTCTATGAAAAAAAATCCCCAATTATTGAAGTTTTTGTTTGAAGTGTAAGCAACTGGTTGCCTAATTCCACCACTAAGGAAATATTAAAAATTATAAATCTTTAAGCTATGTCATACTATTAAATCGTTGAGTCAAATGGGTGTGATGTGCCTATTATGGGCACGATGGCGTCATATTATTACACCCAAATATGGACATATCACTAATTGTCACATAAGATTTTATAGTGTGAAAATAGCTTTGTAACACTAGATATGTTTACAACCTAGAGAACATTGACATAAAATTAAGAAGGTGTTTATCTGTGACTCAACAAGACAAATACGCTGTGGTTAATTTAGATATGAAATCCATCTATCACCGCATTGACGGTTCGTCAAGACTCGGCCTCCCCTACTCATTGTACTAATCAGTCAATTGACGTATTTATTAAAATGTCACCATAGTGAATGAAACATGTGTTATTGTTGATTATTAGGGCGTATTAATTTCCTAGTCCTTCTTGATCAACCCCTCTCATGCTCCAAATGTCATCGACCATCACTACTATTTCCCTGCAGACGAATCAAGTAGTCCTCCATTCATGTCACGAAAAGAAAATCAAATTAAGGAATAAAGCACTTGTCTAATTTACGTCTGTACTTTGGTGATTAGCTTGGCCTGTTTTTGTCATAAATTTGATGCATGTATATATAGTGACTGGCTGAAGTTATGAATTGGTTTTAAATATTCAGTTGAGTCCTGCTATGTAGGCCTAGTTATAATGTTGCTCTGATAAGCATTTGTGCATCTAAACCAGTTACAATGGCGCCGGCCGACGGTCCCTAGATAAACGAATTGGTGCGAGCGTAGGCCTACGTCCATACTAACTGACACATAGAGTGAAAAATCCTTTGTCTAGATTTCTCCTTAACGTCATTAAAATTTCCCCTTAGCGGCAGTGTTTTCACCTTAAGGTGTTATTTCTGACGCTTTCCATTGTTATCGTTTCCCCTATGGTAGGAAATAGTATATTATATAACATATATATATATATATGTGTGTGTGT